GAGGTCAGTATCAATGTAGTAGATTCTGCTAAAGTCGTTCTTCTTGTCTTCAACAGTAATGTTCAGTGTGTGCAGACCATAATTTGTTATCAGGATGAGCAATATTTAAGAAGCTATATATTGTGAATCAAATTCAGCCCAGTGAAATTTCACATTTTTTTCTGGCACACTTCCTGAAAAATAGTCTACAAGCAGAAAGTTTACTGACAAGTGCAAGGATAGTACCAAACAGTCGAAAATCCCTTCACCTATAGAGTGATAGCTTAAAGAAGATAAAGCAACTAAGAGTAGCTTCTGTCAATAGATAGATTCGGAATGGCGTTTGAATTGTAGAATAGTTGAGGTTGGAAGGGGCCTCTGGAAATCATTTAATCCACCCACCCTGCTGTAAGCAAAGTCAGCTAGAGTAGGTTGCTCAGGTCCTAGTTCACTTGGGTTTTGAATATCGTGAAAGATGGAGAATTCATAGCCTGCCTAGACAAATTATTTATCACCCTTTCAATATTTTTTTTTTATGTTTCAGCTGAATTTTCTGTATTTCAGTTTGAATAGAACAGAATACAGTAGTTCCAGTTGGAAGGGACCAACAATGATCATCTAGTTCAACTGCCTGAATACTTCAGGGCAGACCAAAAGTTAAAGCATGTTATTAAGGGCATTGTCCAGATGCCTCCTAATCACTGACAGGCTTGGGGCATCGACCACCTCTCTAGGAAGCCTGTTCCAGTGTTTGACCGCCCTCTCAGGAAAGAAATGCTTCCTCATGTCCAGTGTAAACCTTGCTGGCACAGCTTTGAGCCATTCCCATGCATCCTGTCACTAGGTACCAGGGAGAAGAGATCAGCATCTCCTTAGGAAGCTATAGAGAGCAATGAGGTAGCCCCTCAGCCTCCTTTTCTCCAAACTAAAGAAAGTTTGGCATTGTTCAAGTTCATATCTGCATGTTCTTTTCAATGGAGTTAGTCCTGTTTTTCTGAAAAATATTCAACCATGTTTAGATGTTGTTCTGTGTACATTAGCACAGGAAAACACAGTTTGAAATGACTGTTGCAAAATTATCATATTTAAATATGTTTCTTCTGTTCCTGACTCTTCATTGCTTGGTGTTTAATTTTAGCGTTTGAAAACTTTAATGCCACGTCAGGCTGATTTGCAACTACAGCAGATTTCAGAGCATTTTGAAATAAAATCTAAGGTAATAGAAGATAAAATAGCTCGTATACATATTGCAGAACAACAGAAAGTTCAGAAGCTCCAAGAGGAACGAAGAGCCCAAGACATTGAAAAGGTGACTATTTACTTTTTATAGACTTCTGAAGAAGTATTTTCTTAAGTTCATGTACATAATGAGTTAGTTAAAGCCAATGTGAATGCCTGTTAATTCTGTGCTACACAGTCATGTTTATACAAAACCAAAGATAAGGAGTATGCACGACAATCATTAATATGTAGATATAAAGCCAATATACTGTTATAAGACTCTGAAAAAATTCATATTTAAAAATCACTTAATGTTAAATTGAGAGTATTTGCATATTGTCATGCATGGAAAATATTTATAGATTTGAAGAAAAAGTGTAAATTTCACAACTGTATGTGTTTAAGTTGTCCTTGTAAAAGAGGTTTGTGACATTCTTAATTTGTGAAGACAAGAAGCATTGTTCAAAAGTAGGAAAAAAACACAGGGCAGGGGACCTATAGTGGGTATGGCCTCAGAACACCTTGTAGCTCTGTGTAGCTGTTCTGATAAGGTAAAAAAGAGGAACTAATTTCTTAAGAAATGGGAACACTCATCCAAAGTACAGCCTGTAGTTTACATAGAGGAACCGACCAGCTATCCAAGGGGTGCTGAACCACAGTGAAAACTGACTAATTTGAGATGCATTTTGTATGGCTAATTAAAGGGAGAGAGTCTTGCTGTGGTTATTTAGCTGTTCTATTACCACTGCATGAACAAGAATGAAAAAGAAAGTCCCTTCATGTATCTAGAAAAGAAAATACAAGCAATATCCGAAATATTCAAAATTTTAAAAGAAAATTTACTAATATCTTATTTGATATAGTACATATTTATTTTTTAACTATCTTTGACTCCTTGTAAAAAAACTTTTTTCCCACTCAATTCCACCTTTAACTTCATGTATCTGTAGTGCACTTTTAACTAGTGTAATTTAAATGTTTTTTACTTCTGGTCATCTGAGACTGATTGTTCAGTGGTAATATTACCTAATGGTATTCACAGTTTCTGTGCTGAATTCTGACCTGAAACAGGTACCATACTAGAGCTAGAATTTAATAGAAGCCCTTAAATGCCTATTAGGCACTGAGCACAAACTGTTTTTCTTTACAGATGTGCTTCTATTGCACCACACTATATGTTAATGCAGACATAGCATATATAGATGTACCATTTTCTGATAATGGTACTTAAAAAGTATGTCTTCATCCTCAAATATTGAGAACATATACTAGCATATTGCTAAGCTGTCAAATTATTCAGAATGTAGAATGATACTTTAAAATGCATTTTACAACATGTACTTCTTGATATAAAAATGGTGATTCATGAGTACAGTGGCTGAGAATATGCTTAAGACAAAGTTTAACTGTGGACAAAAGACAAATAAGTTTTTGCTTTCATTGCATTTTAGTGATTAAAAAAAGAAAAAAAGTCATTTACTCAAGCCTGGAGCCTGATAAGCTCTTCTACTTTCTTCCTTGAAGAATTTTTTCCTTATGGCTTAATTACATTTACTTCATAGATATATAGGTAGTGTATTAGGGCCCTATGGTGTATTTCAACTCAAGTATCTGAACACAAGATGTTGAATATTCAGCATCGCATAGGAAGAAGGAGACAAAATGAAATAATGGCCAGGATTCAAGCAGCTATTATACAGATTCCGAAGCCACCACCGAGCCATACCATAAAGGCTACTGAAGCCAAAAAATTCTTGAAGAAGAAAAGAGAAGCAGAGGTAACTATCATCTACATTCTTTTAATATTAATTATATGAACTTGCAAAACATATGATTTCTGAGAGCATTTACACTTACAAATACTGTACTTGCACCATCCAAAAGCTGCTGATATAACTGTTAAAATGATAGTGTAGACTGAACCAGTGAAAATTGGGCTAAATATTAATATGATTATGATTCTGCATTTGTTACTTAGTAAAAATGTTTTGATGTAAGAGAAAGTTCTTATTAAATAAATACCATAAATAAGTACTAATTTAATTGTGGACAGTATTTTAGCTTCTAGTCCACTGAGTAGAATATGTGAAATAAACATTAATGTTTCCTTCTCATTTGTGTATGATGTTTTGCACCATAATGTACGAACTCTTCTGTAACACACTATAAAACAATCTGCTCTATCAAAAAAGTTATTAACACCTGAAATTGACAATAGTCTTAGATCAAATCAAGAGATGATGGCAATGTAGCAATAAAAAAAAAATCTGTATTATCTAGTGCTGAAGAATACTTGGATTGTAATCTCACAGTTCATGGATTGTATTGTCATCAGGAGTGCAGATATTACTTGGTTTTACAACTGCGCAACTGTGATAGATACGTTTAAATGTAGAGTGTAGGAACACAGTTGCTTGAGTAATGATCAGGGATAAATTCAAGCTACTAAATCTAAAGCAGACCATAACCCAGAATATCTTGTTTCTAATCCCTGAATGGTGGGAATTATATAAACTGCTAGCGTCCTATGTAAAATCAGAATTATCCTGCAGAATGAACAGCTGCAAAATCTTAGTATTTTCTGGCTGATGGCTGATAACTATTTCCTAGTTATAGCTAGGAAAAGGGGAGGGGGGAAAGGAAATGAAAGGTAGAAGAAGGAACAAGTCTTGCCTTTTTTCTTGATCTAGCTGACGCTTAAAATATTTTCAGTGTAAACATTTCTGTTTTCCTAACATGACATAAAAGTAACTCCCTAATACTTAGTCTGTTGAACCTTCCTTATGATTCTTTGTGAAGAGAAAGGAAACATTAAATTTTGTGTTATTTTTCAGGACACATACAAGGACATTAAAAAGTTTGAGAAGTCTCTGGCAAGAAACACTTCTGCAGTACACAGCCAAGTCACTGACAGGTAATATTTGGATATTAGATTGTTAAAATTAGACAGGACCCTACCTCAGGTAGCTACTATCTATGTGGACAGTTACTTGAGGAAGATGTAATGGCTTGTTTAGTTTAACCTGTGATTGTCCTTTGAGTGATTGTCCCACTAGCACTGCAAATATTCCAGCTCCAGCACCGTTACAGTGTTTTTACCTTAACTTTATTTGTAGTAGGGATGGCTCAGGCTTCCTTCTCTCCTTTTTGCTATATATGCAGCAACAAAGGACACGAAGTGCATCTCTTCTTCTCTGTTCATTTCAGTCATTGAGTCTGTAAGGTCAGTTAGACTTTGCAGAGAGACGAGAATGGTTGTGGATGTACATACACGGTAACACATTTCAAAGAAAATAGACAGAAACAACCTATCTCCTTAGACTTATCTGTATGTTGATTTATTTGTGAATAATTTGAAGTAGTAGTCATTCTGTGACCTTTAGTGATATGTATACCATACTCAGAGGAGGTGGCAGTCATGCATACTGCTGTGGATACTTCTGCATGTAACCAACCTGTGATTAATAACTCCACAAAACTACATCCAGAGTGTATGGCTATATTGAAGAGTAACCCATCTTTCTTTGATATTCTGTGAGCCATCCTAATTTCCTCTTTCTGTAGAATTTGGCTTCATATTAGCAAATGAACTAACTGACAGTTGGCTCAAGTCAGTGCTGGAGTCCTCCTCTGGACTTAGTGGTCATTGTGGGGCACAAGAACATCAAGAAGTAGCCGCAGTGTCCATAAGGAATGCTGTTGTGCATTTATCAGACTTCCACATAACTATACAGGGATCTGTATGAAAACACCTCTAAGAACGATAATTCCTATAAAGTCAGTGATCTTTTTCTTTTTAATCTTTTCAATCAGCGATATACAAGACTCATTGCAAACACAGAAGCTGCAAGAAGCAACTCTAGAAACTAGAGTACAGACAGCAACTGAGCTGCTAAATATTTATTCAGATGATGAATACATAAGGAAAATTCAAAAACATTTAGAGGAAGATACGTTTGCTAGAGAACAACGAGAAAAGAGACGACGAAAAATGCTAATGCAACAGTTAATAGCACATGAAGCTGAAGAGGTGAGAAAATGTATGCTGAAGTCTATAACCCATGCACAATTAGTAATCTAAAAATTTGCTTACAAATATAAAAGAACAGTATTTTTGGAGGGTTGAATAAAATTTGGAGGGGATAAAGGGAGACATATACACTTATCTCTGAAAATAACTTTTATGCCAACCGTTGTCTGTCCTTGAAAAATATGGAAGGTTGTGCATTCTTTCTCACCACCTTTATGTCATACTTCACCCTTATAAATCATAAAGGATCAAACGAAAGCAGCAGAGATAAGGTTATTAAAAATCAGTTGAAGACCTGCCTTATGTACCCCCGGCCCAAAGCTGAATTTTAAATTATCAAAATGTATACTGGTTCTGAAGAAGGTACTTATTAAAAAACAACAAACATGGCATT